GCACTTAGCACTTAGCACTTAGCACTTAGCACTTAGCACTTAGCACTTAGCACTTAGCACTTAGCACTTAGCACTTAGCACTTAGCACTTAGCACTTAGCACTTAGCACTTAGCACTTAGCACTTAGCACTTAGCACTTAGCACTTAGCACTTAGCACTTAGCACTTAGCACTTAGCACTTAGCACTTAGCACTTAGCACTTAGCACTTAGCACTTAGCACTTAGCACTTAGCACTTAGCACTTAGCACTTAGCACTTAGCACTTAGCACTTAGCACTTAGCACTTAGCACTTAGCACTTAGCACTTAGCACTTAGCACTTAGCACTTAGCACTTAGCACTTAGCACTTAGCACTTAGCACTTAGCACTTAGCACTTAGCACTTAGCACTTAGCACTTAGCACTTAGCACTTAGCACTTAGCACTTAGCACTTAGCACTTAGCACTTAGCACTTAGCACTTAGCACTTAGCACTTAGCACTTAGCACTTAGCACTTAGCACTTAGCACTTAGCACTTAGCACTTAGCACTTAGCACTTAGCACTTAGCACTTAGCACTTAGCACTTAGCACTTAGCACTTAGCACTTAGCACTTAGCACTTAGCACTTAGCACTTAGCACTTAGCACTTAGCACTTAGCACTTAGCACTTAGCACTTAGCACTTAGCACTTAGCACTTAGCACTTAGCACTTAGCACTTAGCACTTAGCACTTAGCACTTAGCACTTAGCACTTAGCACTTAGCACTTAGCACTTAGCACTTAGCACTTAGCACTTAGCACTTAGCACTTAGCACTTAGCACTTAGCACTTAGCACTTAGCACTTAGCACTTCACACGCGCGCGCAACCACACCTCAAGGGGATCTGTACATGAGGGATATAGCAGACTTCTGTCCCTTACTAGTATATGGGTACACTTAATTGATACACCTCAATAGATAGGTATATATATATATATATATATATATATATATATATATATATATATATATATATATATATATATATATTGATAGATAGATAGGCAGATAGGGAGATGTTAATTAAAAAGAAATAGCTCTCACCACACGCCAGCTCGTCCTCTCCACCGGGACAATCTGCCTCTGCATTGCACACCAGGTAGAAGGGTAGACATTTCCCGGTGTTGCAGAGTAACCCGTCTTTACAAGAGTCTGCGGAATATTTACTCCATAACTTTAATCTGCCAGGAAGGTCTAAATGTGTATTAACATTAGACAAATCTTACATTATAAGCTAAATTCACAATAGATAGATTTACACTTGTTTATAAACTAAAATCACAATACATAAATCTTACGAGAAGGAACGTTTCTCATTGCCGAATATTTTCTGTTATGTTGTTCTGCCAGGAAGGTCTAATTGTGTGTAAAGATGAAAAGACCAAAAATTTGCAACGTTGGGAACGACTATAAAAAAGTATTTTTTTCTTTGCAGTGCATCAATGAAGGTGTTCATGATACCCAGTGCTACGTTTATTAATTTATTTACTTAACTAATCACTTATTCGTACATCTATTTATTGACCTATTTATCCATTTAGTTTTCACTCGACTCACCGCATCCTATTTCATCGTCTCCCTCAGGACAGTCTGCCACGGCGTCGCATCGTTGGTACGAAGGAATGCACTCGCCTGTCCTGCACTCGTATCCGTCGCCACAAGTCACTGAGAAAGACACGCCTTGTGTTGATAATTCATTGCCTTACGCCGTGTTATTTCCGCATTTCATGTCATTTCCTCAGCGCGGGTTACCAGTACCATAGAAAGTCTTAACAGTAAAGGATGTCAGAAACGTTGAAAAAAAAGAAATTAAATTGGATATATAAATAAATGCTAATAACAGTACTTTCCAATTTCTCCTCAATCTCTTCACGTGAAACATCATAATGATATTATGAAAAAAAAACTATCACAAAGTGATATATACGAGTACCTTGTATCACACTCACCGCACCAATTCATGTCGCCACATATCTCGATAACTTTGCATCGATATTTCATTTCAATGCAATTGAGCGATGGGCAGAGAACACCTCCTTCACACGTGTCTGAGGAACACAGAACTTGATACAATATTCAGGGTAACATGCGTATAAATTTTATTCTGCTTTTTAGTGTACGGGGGTATACTCTGTTGAACATGTGTGTGTGTATACATATATATACATATTTATCTGTATATATAGATACATATATACATATATACACAGATACACACACACACACACACACACACACACACATATATATATATATATATATATATATATATATATATATATATATATATATATATATATATATATATGTGCATTCACTGTATATATTTATTTACATTTATATATATTTATACATGTATATATGCATACATATATATTCATATTTATAATTATATTTATATTCAGATATATATGTATATATATATTCATATTTATAGTTATATCTATATCCATATACATATATATATATATATATATATATATATATATATATATATATATATATATACATATATATATATATATATATATATATATATATATATATATATATATATATGTATATATATGTATATGTATGTATTCATATTTACTTATTTATGCACACACACACACACACACACACACACACACACACACACACACACACACACACACACACACACAGATATATATATATATGTATATATATATATATATATATATATATATATATATATATATATATATATATATATATGTATATATATATAAGGAGGGAGGGAGGGAGAAAGAGACTGATTTACCTGTTAGCTGGAAAGAGAAAATACAAATAATTCCATAGGGCAAAACATAAGATTTCCTATCGTGGCAGTTTAGTTTTCACTGTGTACACGTTACAGAGTTTGTATTTTTGCTTATATTATTTCTCCTTGCACTTAGAATTTGAAATTGCAATTGCACCTCTTTCGACCAAAGACATGTATATATTTTAGTTTATGGGTGAAAAGTTAAAGTAAATTATAATGAAGATCATGATAAAGATGACACCGATGGCGGTGGTGTTAATAATAACAGTGATATCAATTATAAGAAAATTACTAGTAAAAGAAATAATGATAATCCCTTTAAACATATAAATCATTGTATCTTTTCTCACTGTTATTATCTTTATCCTTATTAAAATACTATGATAACGATTATAACAAAACATAAATGATAATGATGACAGTAATAATATAATAATATTGATGATAGTAATAATATAATAATGATGATGATAGTAATAGTATGATGATAATAATGTTAATAAAACGGTAGCAATAATGATGATAATAAGAATAATGTTAACACGTTTTTGGCCGTAACTGGACCAGTGATACTGCATATGGTATAAAGTAGTATTTTTGCAGAAGGGACAGTGTGTCTGTTGATTACACAATATTATTTATGACTAATATTAAATGTCTAAAGATATGTCTAGGTTATTTAACAATTTCAATCTGCCTCTTGCTTTGACCAATATGGTTTATCAATGATAATACGTGCGTGTAAAAGTCAACACTTACCGGAGATATTTTCATGCTTGACAATCTGCATATGTCTAGCTTCTTGTCGTTTGAACAGTTAATAAAATGTGTGAATGTCTGTGAACGTCGATCAGGCAACTTACCGCACTGACTCTCGTCTTCTCCGCCAGGGCATTGCTTGCTTACGTCACAGCGCGAGTAGTGAGGCAGACATTCTCCCGTCTGGCAGAGAAACCCTTCCTTACACGTGGCTGGGAGTGAAGGTAAGGTGGAAGAATTATACGTGCATTCATTCAGTATTATTTTTATATTTATTATGTTTTTTTTTTTAGGGGGTGGGGGTATTAGATTACTTTTGTTTCGTAACTTCGTATGTGGTGCCACATATATAAGAATAATAAAAAGCTTTATATCCTAGACATTTTATAATCCAATATTTTTTCCCCCTAATAATTACCACCAATTTCTCTCAGTTGTTCCCCTACATTATTATTTCTTCACATTACGTATATATTTATAGTAAATTCACATGTATAAACTTCACAAGCAAAAACGGCTAAATCTTACAGCAGTTTTTCTCGTCTTCTCCATACCAAATGCAGTCTTGGAATCCATCGCATACGAAATGGTTACTGATGCACTTCCCTTCCGAGCACTGGAAATACCCCTCTTTGCAAGGGGGGGTCACTGCAGGAAGGAAGAGGAGGAAATGGTATTTAGCCGTGCAGAAGCTCATACATATATATGTATAGTAGGCTATCTCTCTCTCTCTCTCTCTATCTATCTAACACTGCGTATGTGTGCGTGTGAGTGAGTGTGTGTGTGTGTGTGTGTGTGTGTGTGTGTGTGTGAATATAAAACTGCAAAGTGACGTAGTTGTCAATACATCACACAGCTGAATGTACGCTCCTGTTCACCCCACAGCCAACGTACCATCGTCGCAGCCAGTTTCTTCGCAATAGTCACATCGCTTGAAATCGGGATAGCACTGATCTCTGCAGCCGACGTGGTATTCTGGACACCCACCTGCCGGTACAAACGCACTCGAAACTTTCCACCCTAGAAACATCTCCCAACGAAGAAAATAAATAAAACATGTTTTGACGTGATCTCGAGTGCCGTCATAGAATGTCCTTTTACTTACAGCATGTTTGCTCGTCTTCCTTGTCACGGCAGTCGCCTTCACCATCACAAACCCGACGGGAGTGAATGCACCTGCCGTCGTTGCACCTGAACATCCCTGGCAGACATTCCCGGGGTTGCGCTGTTCCAAAGGACCTTTTCGGTCGTAGGGGCCGGGGAGACCTGGGTGTGGTCTTGGAGAGAGATGTGTATTGTTAGATGAGAGACAACCAGGGAAAGAGTGGGGAAGAAAGTGAGTGAGAGGGAGGGAGAGGGAGAGGAGAGTGGAGAGGAAAGGAGAAAAGAAAAGAAAAGAGAAAGCAGAAAGAGGAGGAAAGAGGGGGAAAGAGGGAGGAAAAGAGAGGGAAAGAGAGAGAGAGAGAGAGAGAGATAGAGCAAGGGGGGGGGGAGGAATGAGAAAGAGACAGATACTCAAGGGCAGAAATTACGCTTCAAAATCCCCAACTCTAATATATATAGAAGACCCATTTTTGTTGGGACAAAATATCCCTACGATCAAAAAGTTCATTTGTCTATTGGCGGATCACAATAGCTGATGTGATAATAACAATAAATTACTTGCAATGATAAAGCAATAATATAAACATGGAAAAGAAGAAAAAAGTGAAAGAATGACCGACATAAGTATAAGTATTCCAAGCACGAGCTTAATCATCCGCCAGTGCTCAGTAATCCTGGTCTCCCTAAAGTGAATATTTCTCTATTTCATTCTTGGCCGTGACGCTGATCAAAGTTGGATTTTCACTAAAGTCTCATAAAAATTGGTCACAGTAACACACCCATAAAGTATCGTCATAATCCGATCGTAACTATTTGCTTAATTTGGGTGACAAACCAGTTAAGAAATAAAAGACCACAGTATAAAACATAGCTTTCCCCTTCAATAGATGAAATAACAACACCCAGCTCTTCTCACCTGTACACGGTTATCTAAAGCTCTTGCGCGATGGCGTGGACTCAATTTAGAAGAGGCTTCCTTCTTCCTTGTCTCCTCTTGGTTGTGTATTAAGTTGATTTTATTTTCTTCCGTTGTCTTTACGTCCCTCTTAAGTCGTTCGTCCTCCATTCCTTCACATCTTGGCAAAGAGCCTGTCAATGAAGATAATCCCTGCGTTCACTGAGCTTTTCTGAACGGTGCTGATAGGTGCATCGGTGTGTAATGTACCTATCAGCTGATCATTGTAAAAAAAGTCTTTGCACGACGGTCATCAAGGAAACGTGTCGAGAGAGAAATAAATTAATTTCCTCATTGAGATTATCATGAAGTAGATATCTGTATTACAAACGCATTAATCATTAGAAGAGTTGTAAAAGGTGAAATAAAACGCGTTGGAATTCAAACAGATGTACTTTTGAGTTGGCGGCCATTTTGGTTGTTTACAAACGAGCCGTGAGGCAAAGCGAACTATATGCCTCCAACCCTCGCCTTGTTCGCCAACGACTCGCGAACCGTTTCGTCAGTCGGCTGTGCACTAAATTTTGCCGCGCAATGCATGAAATATAATTTATATTCTCATAGCACTGGAAATTACGCAAAACAACAAATACATAGAGTACTAGTATAATATATATATATATATATATATATATATATATATATATATATATATATATTATATATTATATATATACTATATATATATATATATATATATATATATATATATATATATATATATATATATATATATATATATATATATATATATATTATATATTATATATATACTGTATATATATATATATATATATATATATATATATATATATATTTATATATATTTACATACATATATATAAATATATATATATATATATATATATATATATATATATATATATATATATATATATATTTACATACATATATATAAATATATATATAATATATATGTATATATATAAATATATATATAATATATATGTATATATATAAATATATATGTATAATATATATATATATATATATATATATATATATATATATATATATTTGTGTGTGTGTGTGTGTATATATATAAAGAGAGATAACTAGATAGTAAATTGGCCCATACGACAAGTTGCTCCCAATTACCGTCAGAAAAGAATCTGGAAAATTTGCTTTCTTCATCTTGTAGACATACGGAAAGCTTCAGTCATGTACCTTATAGATAAGAATATATATTTTTTAGCATGTCGTACATCTTTATAAATATAGGTTTCTTTTAGAATTAATTCACATCTATTTTTCAATTACCTTGTATTTATCTTACAAAATGAGGATTATTATCCCAATTTCAGAAAGGTTAAACACTTCCCTTTATGACATCTCAAGTGAACTTGAGATATCATAAAAAATAATATCTCAACACTTAAGAGAATTGCTGCTCTCGAATATACCATTCACCTAAATAAGTCTACAATATCCATAAACTTGAGGTAAAAAAAAAGAAAAAAGAAAAAATATATATACATTATCTCCATCTTACAGAAATTAATGACAGAGAAATGTTCCCATCAAACTTACCTTTCCCAGAATAACAGTCTACAATATCCATGAACGGAGCCCACAGGGGATGGTCAGCCAGTGCAGGAGAGCGGGGGAGCGGACTTAGGTTACACACGGTCACCGCAGGAAACATCACATTCGTTTCAACGACGACCTTAAATGTAAGATATATTGTGGATAGATCAAACATATATTGGTAGTTTGTGAGATTAAGAATTGAAAAGGTATGATGCTTGTTCTGAAAAAGCCTAAAAAGACAAAGAAGAAGAAGAAGAAGAAGAAGAAAAGGTTTCCACAAATAACGTGACACAAAATTAACGACTCTATACACTACTATTCAT